TGTGGGAAAAGCACATAATTCTAACAGAAAGATGGTATGACAGCAAACCCAGACCTGAAATTCCTATAGAAACAATTAAAAACAATCCAGAAATTAAAGTCAGTAATGATTTTTTTTGGTACTTTGTGGGTTGTGAACCTCATAGAATTTGATAGAGTAACTTTACTAATAAGACTCATGTCCAGTTGATTTCATGTGGACACTCCACAAGCTTTCTGTCTAATAAATCAGATCAGTCATGCACATGAGACACAGCACATAAACAGGGACTCTTATGCTGCTTATTAATACTAGCACAGAGGATAATCAGATGCTTTCAGGTTTTTCTTTCACTTCTTAATAATCAACATGGGCCTCTTCATTTCAAAAATGATGTTTTGAATGCATTGGAAAAGTTTATCTTCCAAGATACTACTATATATAAAAGAGGGTTACACTCTTCATTCTGACAAAATATTGGCAATTAAAAGTTCAAATTAACTCAACACCTGAGAAAAACAACCAAAAAGTGTTCTTACACACAGAGCATTACTAACCCTTCCTTTGTTAATAATGTGTTAGCATTTGCAGTAACAAGCTCCTGCATTTGGTCAGTGCAACTGTTCTTGAAACAGGCTAAGCAGACATTATTTCTGTGACTGACAGTGAAATAATCAATCTGTCTGTATTTTCAGAAATGTCACAAAAGCATGCACTGATTAGAATTGCTGATACAGCTCTGGAAGGGAGGAGGACAGAAGAGGGAGGGAACTGAGTTCTTTCTACAGGTTCAAAATTAAAATCAATATTTATATTAATTACAAAATATTTACTGTAGTTAAGAATCTATTAAGAATTAAAAATCCATTATAAACAACAATTAAAATACTATCTATTAAATAGAAAACAACTTGTGCCTAGCTCTATTTTTAAAAAAATATTATCCAAGATTAGTATTTTAGATTCCACATTAATAAAAATTTTAGAATATAGATTTGTATAAAATTTCTACAAAAAATAAATGTTTTTTACTTCCAAACCTTTTTTTTCTCCTTAACTTTTTGTTAACAGATATCACCAACTGATTATAGCTCAACTTTATGGAAATAAAGAAATCTTAACACAGGACTCCTTACATTAGCCATGCATATCACAAATCTTTGCATTACATTCATGTAACACATGAGTCATAAAAACACCATGGACACTACAGGGGGAAAAAAGCCAAAATCCTGATGCTAACAAATGCTGAACTACTATACCAAATCATTACATGAACTATGAAAAACTCCCACAAGATAAATCTATTACAGAATCACTATTCTCCGTGGGAACAGATGTGGGACAATTAATATTTTCTTTAACTGTTGCCTAATTAGTATTTGGCATTTTAGTAGTGCCTTAGCAACTATGAAGAATGTCAGGTATATCAGAGTGTTAACTTCTATCTGAGCAGAGTTGAGCAAGGCAGCAGAGCTCTTGCTTCTTAAAGCTCAAACTACTGGCACCAGGAATGTAATGACACAGCAAAGATAGTACTGATGCCTACAAAATAAGCTTAACTAAAGAATTTAGCTATTATGCACTGCAACTATGTTGTTGCAGCTGTCATCTGCAGATCTTGAGGTCACTTATATAGCTCAAGAGAATCACTCTGTGAAAGTCTAGTGAGCTGCCCAGATTTCTTATCTTAGTCAATGGTGGACAGGTTTACTTTTGTCATATTACTTTACCACCACGACAAAACCACCATCATATCAGAAAAAAATGAAGTGTATTTCAGCTCTACGAACCTTACATCCCACAGATCCCAGAAATTCTGACTCTGGATATTAGTCAGATTGCTAACTCAGTGCAGTAGAGCTGAACCCAAGCAGTGGATACCTGTTCAAGCAAAGCCAACCCCAGGGCCTGGCCTGCACTCTCATCATCTGTTTTATGGCAAAAACTTTGCACTTGTGACTCCCTTAATATGCACTAATGTGAGGGGCTTGCACTGTTCCAACACAGACAAGCAGATGTCCCCTGAACAGATACAAAAGCCATGTTACACACGCCCATCTGATAAGGGTAAATGCTGCACTGTATTTAGCTACATAAACTAAGTGTAAAATTAGAAAAAATATTCAAGATAAAGATCTTCTCTCTTCATACAACACATATATTTAATCCAGAGGAGTCTAAATTTGCCTATGAAGTACCTATAATATGCTACATAAAGAAAAATGTAACATCATGTATTTTCTATATAGTGCAAATCCTTAGTACCACCTCCCTATGTAGAGGAAGAAAAAAAGAAAAGCTCACTTAACCAAATGACAGCTCAGTGCCTTTCCTCTATTAAAGCTAGAATTTTTATGTAAGGGATATGCACAAATAAGACCCACATTTTCCTACTTTAAAACATAAAGGTCTCTATTGTTCCATGTTACACCAGTACTGCTACGAAAACTTAATTTCTCCAACTTTTTTTTCCCTCTTGAAGAACAGAACTACTGTTCACTTAGCTGTTCCAAACAGAATGCATGCTCAAAGGGTGAGATAAGGGGAAAGGAAGAACAAATTACCACATTCATTTACTACTTTTTTCTTCTTCCTTTGATTATTTTCATGAAAGATTCCTACAAATGACCATAATTCATTAAATTATTTTAACCCAGTGCATACATTCAATAGGTCCATATATTTGTCACATCCATTAAGTTAATTTCTATGTTTATGTAAATCCATCCATAATGCTAAAAATATAAGCCATAAACATACAAATATTAAGCAGAAACAATATTCAACACTAAAATAACACAAAAACAATGCTAAGAGAACTTGATGCATGTTGTACATAAGGAGATTATATCAGAGGTTGATAAGAAGAAAAATAGACTTAATGTCCATTTGGATAAAGAAAGACTTAGAAACATGTGGGTTTAAGCTTTTTCTGACCATGTGTTATGGTCAGAAATCTGAGAAAAACATTCTGTGCATTGTAGTTATGCAAAGTGCTTTACAGTGCCTGTTTATCTTTTGCTGACTTGCAGAAAGAACTTTTTCTATTTAAGTAATTATTCAGTGAATACTTATTACTTTTGTTTCTGAGTTTATATATATATAGACTACAAAAAAAAATTCAAATTAAAGCTCTCCCACCCCAAAATGCTCTACATTTAGTATTATACAGTGGTAGTGGAAAGTGGTTAAACAGGCAAGCATGATAAAAATTAAGGAATTCATGTCCAATTGGAAACATCCAATGAAGAAATATAAATACATATAAACCTTCAGCTATCTCAGTTACAAAACACTGTCCCATCTCTCCCCCATAAAATTTAAAATGATGCTTTCAATGATACTTAAATGTACCACACATACACCATGTTAAGTAAACCCACAGAATTATATTCATCCCTTTGTGGGACAATGATCACGCACTCTTCGCTGCATCTGCTGTCCCAGCAAGTTTGTTCTTCCACTGACCAGTGAATTTCACAATAATCAACAGTACCACAAAGCTCTGCAACCTGGTAAAAAACCTGACAAACATATGTTTATAGAACTCTTCAATTAACTATTTAAATGGAAAAATACTAATTTCTAGAAGGACATGAGGATATTACAGGAGGGCACAATTGTTATGGAGTCATAGAGTCCTCGCTTCCCTTACCACTGACAAAATTTCATATTTGTTTGATCAATTTTACGGTAGGATTCTGTGATCTTACATGAATGTAAATGATAGATGATTCTGCGACTCCATATATGTAATTTTTCCTCCATTTCAGTCCTACTGAAAGTTATTGAAGACTCTGAGCAATAAGTGCTAGAAATTTCTTTGAGAAGATATTTCCATTTATTCAGGACCAATTTATAAGTATAGCTTATATAACAACACACTCCTTTGCCTTGATTATTTTCCCCTCCCTCAAGCTTATTCATACATTTTAACAGAGAAAAACTACAGCTCCTTTTTTTGCTAAGGTCCGTAATCAGTGGTCAAAATCTTTTATAGATTATATCAACAACTATTTATTTTCTACCAGCACAGAAAATATTTTACTGTTTAAAATTATGTATTAAGAATGTGCTATGTAATTCATACAATAATAATTTATGCATTCATTATTTCATTCTAAACTTAGAATTTCTTGCATTATGTAACTTAAGAGAACAGAAACAAGGGCAGTATCAGCACCTTAATGTATATTACTCAAGTATTACTTGTTTTGTTATTGTAAAATAGGTGTAACAGAAATAGAAATACCTTAACTTGAGGAAATACTAAGCTTTCTTTTCCTGAACAAAATTTTTACTGTAATCTAATACTCTCATATATAATGCTATTATTATATTTATGGAACAACTATATCTTTAATATATCCATGAAATGTTTACACACATATGTATATGTATATGTATATGTATATGTATATGTATATGTATATGTATATGCATATTATATATGTATAATACATATGCTATATATATTAAATATATTAAAATGTGTACAGCTATAATATATAATTATACCCCTATCATATATATGGAAAAATATAAGTGTATGTTACATACCTTTTCTGTTTAAAATATAAATGTCTATAAAATGCATAAATCTGTTTATTCTGTATATAGCTGTGTTATATTCTTAAATGCAAAGAATATTTTTCAAGAAATAAATGTATCCATAAATCTATGCATAAATATTACCCATACACATTTTATACTGATATATATGTATATACATATATACGTATATATTTTATACACAATTTTTATATTTATAGACATATTTACCACATGTCTATTTTAAACCAAAAGAATTTCAAAGGATGACAATACATTTTTCTGAAAAGCTGTGTTCAGCTTAAGGTTGTCCAATGTGGCTAAGTCAAATATCCCATTCAGTGTTACTAAGTATTTACTAGTTGAAGGTACTTTTTTAATGGGAAGTTAATCATGCTATCAAAACAAACAAGGAAACAAAAAAACAAAAAAAAACCCAAACTCAAAAAGCACTATGAAAAGCTTACCTCATACCATAAAGACTTCTCAGGACTGGAATTAAATTTCCATTTTATTAGGGACTGAATTATAGTTAGCTGTTCTGTTGTAATCCTAGAAATCTTCATGCCACAGTTGTTTCTCCTTTGCTCAACATAATTCCAAGCAACAGTTCCTATGTGCCCCAATGGTAAAGTCCTAAAAATTGCTCTTGTTCCAGTATAAACTGATTTTTTAACCTCTTTATCATTTTTACAGAAACGTCTTATTAATAATGTAGAACGTTCCTTTTTGTTTCTAAAAAAATCCTCTTCCAGCTCTTCTTCACAGTTATCATTGCAGTCCTTAAAATGGCTCAGAAAGGGCTTTGAGGGCATTCTTCCAGTAAAGTTATTTCCACAGAAGCTGTGACCTGAGCACGCCACTTTAACCTTTTGTGGTGCTCTTTCCAGACATAAGTACTTATCCCTTAAAGCATCTTCGTACAACTGCTGTCCATTTTTATTCTCACAATTATTTGTCAACTGCATTATGCTGCAAGTGCAGGCTGGGGAACCAGTGGTGTTACCATCACCATCACTCACGGGCTGCAAGCAGTCATCCAAAATGAAGCTGTTGTGTAAACCACACAAAGCCTTTGATATATTCCTTTCACTAGCACAATGCAAGTGAAAAAAGGCCACTTTATCAGGATCACTGCTGTCATTCTTATTTACTGCTGTCTGGCTTCTTAATGAAGGTCCATTCATTTTCAACTGAATTTCAGCAAGCATGGCTCTTTCCAGAGAAACAGGAATTCCAGTTTCCAGGCATGCCTCTTCCCCTGCTAAAGGAGCACATGACTGATACAACTGGCTGCAGGAGATATTGCTCTTGTAGTTTTTCTGTACAACGTTACAGTTAATGTTAAGAAATTCCACTGAATCAGAGATGGAGCTGTTCCTCTCCCAGAAATTTTCATTACTCTTGTCGTTAGCCAGTTGTTCTTTGGCCAGAGGGAATATTTTGGGCACTGAGCCCTGAAGACTTTCTTCTTCAAGTCTGTGTAAGTAAGACAGATTGTGTGTGGTTTGCCTTCCCGAACTGGCTGCATGTCTTCTTATAACACTGGTGTCCAAAGCATTTTCAGTATTTTCATCTCCAGCTGACTGGGCAGCTATCACTTTACCCTGTACCACAGAGAGGAGAACAGACGCTGTCATCTCCTCAGAGGTCATCTTGACACAGTCTCTAGTTGCTGGATGTGTGCTGGGGATGGGGGGAGGATCTTCTCCACCAATCCTCATACCATGATTTCAGTGTAATGAAAGTTTCAGTGCTAAAGAATCAGGGAACACATGGTAAAGTATGTATTGACTGCTTGCTCTTTTTGCACCAATGTTTACAAAAAAGTATTTTTTTTTTACTCTTGGGCTGCTAGGCATCCGAAACTTGGATTACTTGGCATGAGACACTAACATCTTAAAATCAGTTCCTTATAATTGTCTCCACAATTAATTCTTCTATCATATAGCACACACACTGTTGCCTCAGATTGCAGATGACCAAACACAAACTCCATGTCACAGATGCATCTCCCCACAGGGCATTCCAAAAGTTGGTTTTCTGTAAAGAAAATACATATATAGATATATTGAACAGCATCCATGGGACAAAATCCACCATCACAAACAGAAACACAACAATGCAAGTTAATTGTACTGAGACCTAGAGAATTCCAAAATGCACATTTAAATCTGTCTTAAAGTTTTATAGAAGAATTTTGGAACATCACTGTAATGTTTTACCTATTTAAATAGCTTTCTCCACTTCACTATGGAAAACTACATGACTGCAGAAAACTAATTATTCTGAAACTGTAACAATGAAATTGAACACATAAATAAAAAGGGAAAAAAGAAAATGTATCTTCCGTATTTCTTCTGACTCATAGCCAGGATAAAACATTTCGAAGAATGCATTCACTTTTAAATCTACACTGTCTTTTAAAATAATTATTTTCCTGTTCAGAACTACAACTACAGCTACATGGTGTTACATGTTTTTTGCTTCCCTTAAACTGTATGCTGTTACCATGAAATCATAAACAAAGCATACTATTTTTGCCACAAGTTTACAACTGAAAAAGCATGAAGACAGATCAGAGTAAAACTGAAATAATCTTCTGACTCCTTGACTTGTACACCTTAAGCTAAAAAGTTAACCTGCCTTTCAACATTGCCATTAATTCTCAGCTACTTTCCTGCAAGCAACATAGTAGAAGTAAAGCTTGGAATTAGAAAATATGAGGTTACAGACAGTTCAACAAAGGAAACAGAAGACTAAAAGAGACTCGCCTAGCTAAATCATGGTGAATTAAACAAATGCACTTATACATTAGTTTACCACATTTACCACTGAAAATCGTAACGTATTATAAAAATTATGGAAAATGTAGGCATTATATTAAGGCATACTAGAACATTCCAAATTCAATAGAAACAAGCAAAAAAAACCCCAAAACTTTAAAGCTTCAACAGCAAAAAACAACAGAAAACTAAGGCAAATGATGAAATCACTGTTTCAGCTACATATAATAATTAAATCATCCATTGTGGATAGAATTAGAAATCATGGGAGGCATAAAAAGCAGGAAAGCTCAGTGATTAATTTTAAGTGTAAAATTTATTTTGATACTCTTCACAAGTATTTATTATTAACAATTTTATTTTAATCCATTTTAGAGTGTCAGCTTTCATTTTTATTGATTAAAAAACCTAATCCAAAAGCAGTCTGGCACAAAGTAAAAGATAACACTCATTAGTTCACGACATCTTTGACATCCCATTTTCCCACCAAATTAAATGCATAAGTGTAACTAAATGTATCATTTTTTCCAGGGTGGTCGGGGTCACAAAAAAAGGGAAAAACAAATTTAAAAGAAGCTACATTTTGCTACAAATCTGTGGCTTAAAAGTTTGCTAGGCCAGGAATAGCATTATTTTCTTCATACAATAACTACCACAAGTACATAGAAAAAAATACAATTTCATACTTCAATCAATTATTTCAATTTTACTGGTTTAACAACGGGGAGGGTCCCAAAGGAAAGTGACAGAGAACAAAGAGGCACAGGTTTTACATTCTCCACCCATTACGAAGCATATGTGCATGCCAGATCAGCTGGAGCAGAGTCCAGGTGGTAAACTCAGATCCTGACCTAGAGAGATTTAGCACCAGAAAGGAAAATAACAGCCCCAGTTCATACAAAAGTTGTGTATCAGGAGATAGCAGTAGTTCAATGGAGTGGCAAGCTTGGGTCTCAAGACAGAGTCAGGTTACCAACACAGCTCACAGAGCACCCTATGACTTAACTGCAACAGCTCAGCTGAAGAGCACATACAATGGAAAGGCAACACTCATGCACGTTTTTAAGTCTACGTTCTCTGGCAGTCCTTCTACCTTTAAACTGTACCCTGAAATTGATTTTAATCCACTTTCTTCAACCTCATCGACTTCACTTTAAAAAGAACAAAAAAAAACCACCCCACACTACCACCAACATGCACACAAAACAAAGGAAAGCACTTCAGCAATTTTCTCATACTACCATTTCCTATCCCTCTTCCCTGTCCTTCCTCGTGAAATATACAGATGACAGCTTACATAACTTTTTGACACCACACACTTGATGAATCTCATTTTTTCTGGCAACCACTCGTCTTTCAGTCCAAACCTACATATGATTATGCTGATCATAGGAGAAAGATTTAGGAAGGAGAAGCAGCTGATTTTTTTCTTGATCTCTTTAATTTCTTTCTTGCTATATCAAGTAACAATAATTCTTTGTAGGAGGTATAAAACATGTCTATCAGTAGTTGTCTTCAGCACTGATTTTTGAAGGAATTCTATGATATACCAAAATGTTTTAATCTACTAATTTATTTTTCCTGCCACAATGATATATACATAAAAGTACTCCCTGAATTATTCTTAAGTCAAGAATAAAAATTAATGGATTGGATTTTCACTCCAAATATTATACCATTTATCACATCTGTTGCTAAATGAAACTCTTACAAAATATCACTCTACTGTGCAAAAAGACAACATTATTATGCAACTTTAACATCTCACAATGATTTTAAGATCATGAAACTGACCATGTACTTTAATTTACATTGTTTATTATGAAGAAACTTTAAAAAAGAAAAATAATCACATCACTGATTTGCATCTGTAAGTAGAAATTCACTAAAACCAGAAGCTCATTTCTATCCTTGACTATCCACAAAGCTCATTTGGTGACTAAGACTGATCTTTCACAGTCCTCCTTCCTACTACATAATTTTCGAATTTCTCTCTTACACCAAAGTGTTTCCACACATCCTCCCCAAACAGCTTCTCTCAGACCTTTTTTATTTTCTCAAGAAATTATCTCAGATCCCCCTCAACACTGTTTCTGTTGGTCACCTCTCTCCTCTGAGCTGCTGAGGCCACACACCTCTCCATTCTCTCCTCACCCATTCTCTCTACCAGTATCACTCTTCTCTATCTGTGCCTGTTTGAAATCCAATTCATCAAGAATAATGTCTGCATAAGAAGCTCCCACTGCATGTCCAGTTGTTCCCATCCTTTTGTGATCACTGCAATGTGACTGCAATGCAAATGTGATCCATCTCAAGAATCTTTTTACTCAAGTTACTTCACAGCTAAAGTATTTTCCTAATCTAATTTGTAGTATGGTTGTACTAATGAGCACCAAAAGCACAAGGGAGAAAATTAGCAGCATGGGAAAGGGAATAAAATGCTTCCTAATGCGGTTTACATACTTCTGCAATTTGCAAACATAATGTGATGTTTCAGCTATGTCAATCCAGCAGGTAGCTGCCATCAAAACTGGCAGACCTACTCCTCTCCTCACTCTTCTCTTTTAGTTCCCATTCCTCCACCTCATTCATCTGGAGATCATGAATCCACAGAGTTAAACTGATTCACCTAGCTGATAAGTAAAAAAAGTGTTCTTTTAATCCAAACAAACTGACTCACTTTATGGCCACATGATCACTATATTCCATGAAAAGAAAATATTAGGAATGCCTGGTCGGGACTACACATCTCAGTAGAAGCTTCAGTTTAGATCATGTTTTCTAGGATGTCTAAATGCACCCTGAAATTTCCCTAAGTCTGGTATGTCCAGTGTATGATGCAAAACTTCATGAGATAGCAAGTAAATACCATGATGGCAGAACCTCTGATCTATTAACAACTGCAAAAATATCTGAAGTTGTGGCTCTGCTGAACAGATGACACAGGTTTCATGTGTCCTCAGTTATACTCTTCCCAGTGTCTTCTTTCCACTGCAATCAACAGATCTCAATTTGGTGCACACAGCAAATTCCTGAAACTCATGGAATTCATTACACATGCTTTGAAGTGCATTAACACAGTGTTATAAATGCTATCAAGTAAAAAACTCACAAGCTCAACCAATAAAATTGTATTTCCTATCTTACTGTAGAACTGCAGAATTATCACTCCCTGTGGCTTCCTTTACTTGCCTGTCTGCACATGGGTAGCCAAAGCCTAGATCTTCATACAAAATCCTCAAATAAATATATCTATGAACTTGCATGTAAAAAAGCTGAAATTATTCAAAAGCATACTCTTCCCATTGTACACCCATACTGATTTAGTTTACAGTTAGATCTGAACATAAAACACATGAAGTAGACTGCAAAGCCTGCACTGTATTCAATACATGCTGGCATTTTCTAAGGCCACTAGATTAGCTGATGAAATCCATTAATAATGACACTGGTTCATTTTACAAGTCCTAAGTTATGTCAGAAATGTAATATGCTCCTTCTATCAGTAAAGGAAATTAAAAATATAAGAAATTAGATCCAGCATTAGTGAATCATTGTGCATGCAGAGGTCAGCCAACAAAGACAAATGAGTAATTAAAATAAACAACCTGGCAACCATTCAGCACATGCATTCACAGAATGTATTAAGTCTGAAAACATGTGACACAAAAGTAATTGGTCTACTTTTTTTTTTTTCATTTACACTGACTGAATAACTTTAAGACTTCAAGTAAAAGTGGGTTCTAATTAGTATTAATAACAATTAATATCAACATTTAATGATTTCTTAATCCCCAGATATACGGAATTGAAGCCAACAACAGTCTAGGTAAAACATCCAACATAATCAAAGACTACAAAACTGTACTAATTTTCTATCAGTTTAATCTATAACTCATTACTCAATCTGAAGTCAGCCAGAATTCTGCTTCTGTGAAAACAAAATTTAGTATGTTGAACTTAGAGCATTATTTAGTCTTAGAAAAGGCATATGAAGAACCAGAATCATCAGACAATGTGGTTAAGTTAGAAAGCCTTTCAATTCCAGGCTGTCAAAGGAAAATATGATTATGTAAATATTTGAGGATGCTGTTTGAACTGTGGGAACAAGTAGCAACTGCATGAGGGGTGAGTAAGGGATGGATGCCAAGGTGAAGATGGGGATTGTTTAGAGAAGCTGGGTGCTGTCAGTGATACCAAATGCAATTCTGTATGTATTATGCACAGGAGCTGCACAGGAAATTCAGTGAATGACTG